ATTTCTATGGGTAAGTTCAATTTCGATTTATTTTACTTCTTTAAATATGGAAACTAGTAGGTCGGAAAAGGGGACTCTTCCCCAATATTTAAATTTTAGAATTTAAAGTTAAAATTGGTGCCAATCGTTTTTGGTCATTACATACTATTCTCAATTTTAATATGTAGGTGTATTTCAATAACACCCTGTATAAAGATAAAAGAACTTTATAAAGTATTAAACTTACTGTATAAACATCTTTTGCTTCAACATATCCGACATATTTTTTCTTGTTTCGTCTTTATTTGACATCATCCTTCGTCTTAAGAAAATCCATCGAAAATCTGTAAAAGAATATCCTCGAGGGCATATTGTCGCCCTTCTGACATCCTGATTCCCCAAGGAGCGCCCCTGAAATGAAAATAAAGCTGATTTCAGGTGCTCCCTCTGAAACTTTTTCGTTCTGAAAGAAACATAATTCTCTGTTCGAGAATTTACTGGAAATGTTTACAAATCTGTTCTTCTTACTTCCTAACGAAAATACTTAACAATAGAAAATAAAATAGATGTTTTTTATATATATGTAGGTATGTATGTATGAAAAATGTAATGCAAGCTATTATTAAAAATTAAGCACAATGGAGTAAAAAGCCAAGTTAATCCTATATTTATCTAGAATATGGCGACTACTACAAAAAACAATTTCAGTTTATTTTTTATTAAACGATTATTATTTTGTAGAACTATTTTTATTTTGAATATTTAGTAAACTTTTTTATTTTTGTCAAGATTTAAAAGGAATTTATTTAAAATCTTGGCAGCGATGAAAAATGATAAACAAGTAAATAATGCAAATTAAATGCTTTTCCGGTTAAACCAAGTTATAAAAATTGCCACCATTCGAAAAAAGGCCATTAAGATGATTTGTTAAATAAAAATATGGTTGCCCAACAGGAATAAAGCAATTGTAAGCATGTTGAGGGCAACTATACCCTGTCCAGAGTAGATTACTGTCTCTTATCTTTGATAAATGGAAAGTAATTATTGTGTTATAGCTGTTCTATACTTACTCCAGCCAGCCCCGGGTCTTGAATTTTTTTGAGGCGGGGCAAAAACTGAAGAATGCCGCTCCCACCCGCCACTGATGGATATAGGCCTCCCCCAAAGAACCTCACAACTACCGGTATACCGCTGCTCTTTCTCTGTTAAGCCAATATTTTTTCGAAAAATACCAGGATGTGTCGGACTCGGACATATATTTTAATTAGGTTAGGACAGGATAGGGTCTGAATAAAACATGAGGTTAAAATTATTATTACCCATTGAAATTAAAATTTTACTCTTCGATCCGTTTGTTCTGCAAACAAATCTATGGCTTTATCATAATTAATTTGATGAGCAATTTGATTTTCTATTGCTAATATGGCAAGACTTGGTAAACGTTCCTGGCTCATCGAATATCGTAGATAATTTTTGATAAGTTTGCTAAAACTTAGCTCGCAGCTTGCGGATGTAGTAGGAAGCGTACAGTAAATTCTTAGAGCAATAAAAATATTGCTAAAGGCATCCTGTAAATCATGCATATAAATCTGTTGCAAGAGATTGAAAGCGCTAGCATTTCTTATATCTCCGAATAAAAGTGGACCTTGCTCTTTAAAAACGTAGGGTTCCTGGCAGAATTCAACCGCGTTTAAATCTCGCTCGTATTTTCGTCCCAGATCTGATCCATGCTTTTGCAGTTCTTCATTTGACATATCTAAAATTTCAGTACCATTTAGAAATGCGAAATTCGAATTCAACATGGTAGCACTATCAACCCTCTTTTTAATTTCTGATAATATTCTATCAAATACCATCATTGTTGCTTGAGAAAAAAGTTGAACTGGTTAAAGTTTTCTTATTTCTCACACATCTCGTCAAATTGTTTTTTGGACCTCGGAATTCGTTTATTTGGCAGAATAGGTTTGACGCCAATTTTTCCAGCAACTTCTTTAGCCTCTTCTATCCAATATTCAATTGAATTTTCTCTTATTTTTTGTAAAGTTTTCATCAGGCCATCCATTAAAGAGACGGAACGCGCAAGTATTATATCTTTTTTTACATAGCGAATTACCTGGCTCATTTGTTCTGTATGCCACACATCTGGAGTGCAATCAAACATTGTATAGTATTTGGCTTCTTTGTTTTCGTTTAGAATGCTATTTCTGACTGTATTTGCCATTATGTCAAAAATTTCATTCTGCATTTTTTTGACAAATATGATACTTGCCCCTTTTTTAAGTTTTCTAATTGAATCTTAAGAGTTGAATTATGTTTGGAGAGAAGCAAAATTAAATTCAAGAAATTTCCTTGACCAGGCTGAGGATATTGTGTGATGAAATCGCTAGAAGTTTCGTCGGAACCACGAAAAGAAAGTTTGTTGCTAGATATAATACAGCATCCATAACCATATGCAGGATCTGTCTCCATTTTTATTTTTCGGTTTGAATTACTCGTTCAATGTCTTAATCAATACTCTGGCATGATTTAATTTGTTGAACTCGAGTTTTCTACTTAATCATAAACTCTTTGTGCATTTGAGATTCCTCGTGCTCGATTAATCTCTCATAAGCTTTTTTCCAAATAATAAATCCTGTAGTACACAATGCAAATGTACCGGAAGAGGAAGATTTCTGAAAAATCTTGCAGCATGCACAAAAAATTGCATTTTTTTTTAGAATATACAAGCCAAGATCTTTTAAGCTTTTCGTCATTGGTCAATGTTTTGTACCACATAGCAGATGTTAAATGTCTACCATCGCGTTCAGTTGATTTAAATTCAATGTTTTCTGGATGACTTTCTGCTAATAACACAGCTTGAGTAGTAAAGAAAGATCGTTGCTGGTTGGTCATTTTTTCAATGTCTGACTAATTGCCCGGGTCTGTCAAATCCGATTCAGATTTTTTGTATTATGTCTCAATTTTTTCCAAATTGTTCTTGCACTCTCGCAGTTTGGCTAGACGATGCAGGTGATAAATTTTGATCATCAGGATCGTGCAAAGTGCAAGACATATCCTCTAGTTGAACATCTTCGCAAGCTGTGGCAGGTACTGACGGGCCACCGCCTTCGCTAAGCCACTTTTTCATTTTTTCCGCATATTGTTTTCCCTGAAGGACTCTATCTATGGCCTTTTTTCTTTATTCCGCTCCCGATAGTTTTTTCTTGGCGCGCTCATAATTTCAACCTATAAAACATAAATTTGATATGTTGAACACAGTGTGAAAAATATGTCTTGTAATGACTTTGTAAACCTCATTCTTTGCTAAACTCAACGATACGCGTTTCGTTCCGCAAAATTGCATTCGGTGTACAATACTTGTTTTTCCTAACCCAACCTCATATACCAATTTTTATGACAAAAGTTATATTTTTAATTTATTATTTTGATCTATACACGAAAATTAAATTGTTTTTTTCTCTTTAACTTGATATTTAGTATGCCTTGAAAAGTAACATTTTAACAGTGTTAAATGTCAGTTATTTTATAGTTTTTTAAAATACCAATAACTTCGAAAAAATCCGATGCAAGCTATTGCTACAGGCAAACAAAATGCGTCACTTTGCGTCTGAATCATATGTAATTATATAAGGCACATTAAAGAACGAGCGACCGAGGCAAGGGACAGCGACAGCACTTTCAACACCGGTCTCGGAGCAGTATTTGTTGCCTTAAAGCGTAACGTAAGTTCATCGGTCGTCTGTCGAGGTCGCGATCGCTTATATCGGTCTGTCATTCCCAAATCGTACCTTTAAGAACTATTTTTTTATTTTCTTCATCTATATAAGTTGGTCGATTAAAAAAGTAGGTTGAATTAAAAGGGTATTATTCCAATAGCGACAATAGTTTCAATGGGGGAGTAAATACTAATTGTGTACAACGAGAATAGAACTGGTATGTTGCCAAAATTATAACGTTTGAATAATCCCGGCACGTTGATGGATAGCATGTTTATTAGTTTAGTGTATCTTCTGTCATAAATTGTATCGCGACTACGTGTTTCACCTGTTTCTGAGATCTAAATAATATGACATGTCATAATAACATTTTGTAAATTCTGCTTGGGCTGTCTCTCACCTCTAAATAGACTTGAATTAACTATATAAAAAAATAGAAAACAAATGGAAACTTTTGGTACACATTCCCAAATTATATTTCAATAAAATAATAATAATTGCTTGTTTATTAAAAATCATTTTTTTAATTAATTGATAAATTCTTGTTTAATAAAAGAGAAAATTTAAAACCTAACCTACACTTAGAGAATGTTGAAACAAAGAAACACAAATTACCATAAAATAAACATAAACAAGAAAAAATTAAATATTAAAAAAAAACAAGATAACAATTGAAAATTAGTTAAGGACAAAGTATCCTTGTGCATTAGAATGGCGTCTGCAGACCAAAAGTTAATTGTAACTATAACTATTTCCGTAATTATACCGTACCTATATCGTACTATTTTTTTTTTAATTGTAGATGAAGGTCCAACTAAGGTGGTTCAGGTATTGATTTTTTTTTAAATTAATTGTTTTTAATTAAAAACGTGTGGTTAAATGAAAATTGGGTTGCATTTTATGTGTAATCCATTATTAAAAAAAATTTGGACTAAAAATGGCGTCCTCAGTTTATGAAAATAATCAATAATAACCAGTCATAATTTCTTCGGGATCGCAATTCTTAACGGATTCTGCGTTTACATTTGTCTTATTTTCTTTAAATACTTTATCGCTTCATTTTTTTCATTTCCTACAAAAAAAATTACGATATTTTTTAAATTTAAAAATAAATCAGTATATCGAACATAATACAATAAAATCATTCACCTATTATTTGGTACATAATAGTATTTCGTTACTATTTATTTTATTTACCAATTTTTTAAAAATCAAAAGAGATTAGCTTTATAGTAAATCATATGGTAAATCATGTTTCTAGTCAATTATACCATACAGTGTTACGAAAAATATTCATTAACTTACCGGTGTTAGGGTCAAATTTCGAAGGTGAATCGGTCTCGAAAATGGGAAGCTCTTTACCAAAAACTGGTGATGGTAATACGGAAAGATCGTTATTGGTGGACTCTTTATTTGTATTATAATAATATTGTTTAGTTACTCCTTCTACACCATTATTTTCGTTTACTAAAAAATGGATCAAGTCCACGTATAGAGGTAGTTACGGAATAAAACAGTAAAGTTTAAATCTAACAATGTTACAAATATTTTGAGGTTAAAATTACTTACCTCTTGAATTTATGCTATTTTTTTTACTTTTTTCGTGTTCTTTTGCATGAACCATATCCATAATTCTTTTTGACCTTGTTGAACTCATTTTTTGTATGATTGTCACTAATGATAAAACTCAAAAAACGTGATAAATTTTACAGCACTCTCACTACTGGTGCACATAAATACCAAAACATGAACTCAATACAGTATTATTTTGGAAAGTTAGGGAATTATAGGACTTAGTATAATGTTTTAAAAAATAAATCTGTAACTAAGCACATAACACAGTTTTAGTCCAGATCACTGTAGGACTTAATATTTTATTAAATCTTGTTACATCCTAACCTAGTACTGTAAAACATAATACATGTTCGTAAGTAAAAGAGGACTGCGCTAGAAAAGTGATTTTCCTAAAAAGTGGACTTAAGGTGATTACAGCACCCCTTATAATTTTCGGACAATCATATCTCAAAAGGATATTAAAAAAAAAAAAAAAATTTGGGCAAAATAAATAAGGCAATAATGTCTAGAATATGCATATATCTTAAAGTTTTAATTCCTTTCAGTTTCCAAGAAAAAAAAATCAAAAATTTTTAAATTTTAAAATATTTAATGAAAATAAGTGCATTCCTCAACATCACTATTCTTAATATAATCCCCATATTTAGGCTCTTAATCTCTTGTTACTAATTTTTTTAAATTCGCATAAATTAGTGGCTAGAACGCCTCATAAGTGCTGCTTTATGGTGTAACGGGTCTGTAACTATCGTATCGTACACTTTTAGTTATCATTCGTTTCTTGCAACGATTTACACCAGTTTACACCAGAAGATAGCACTTAACGAGGCGTTTTAGCCACTAATTTTAACGAATTTTAAAAAATCATTAACAAGACATTAAGAGCTTAAATTTGGGGATTATATTAAGAATAGTGCTGTTGAGGAATGCATTTATTTTCATTATGATATTTCAAAATTTGAAGCCTTTTGTTTTTTTTTTCTTAGAGACTGGAAAGAATTAAAAAATTTAAAATATATGCATATTCTAGATATTATTGCCCAAATTATTTTCCCAAAATTTTAGTTTTTTAAAAAATTACTTTTTGAGATATTTTTGTCCAAAAATTATAAGAGGTGCTGTAATCACCTCAATACAGTTTTATTCTGGAGTACAGAATTATAAATAGCATTTATAAGCAATATATTTTTTTTTTCATTTTGCCCATTATGCCCCCAATTATCATTATTTAACTATGTATCTATACCGTTTTGAACATTGTTTGATGTGTCAATAACGATTTAATCTTATTATTGATGCTCGCTTATAGATAACGTTTAATAACAATTTGATCCCGGGAATTTTCCATATCTTCGTCTGAAGCTACCCGAAATTTCACAAAAATTACATCAATAAGTCTTTTTTAATAAATGCCCCAAGTAAAGAAGCATTTACGATTATTACAATCTTATCATTAAGATCAATTAGTAATTTTATTTTAATATAACTTATCTAGATATGAATAAAAGACTCTACTCACTAGTGTACCTTATAGTTAATCAACATCATTTAACTAACTCAGAAGGCTTGGTTCTCGGAGTCTTCTTATTAGATTAGCATTGTTGACATTGTTAATAAAACTGGCGCCCGATTGCTTCCTAGTCTAAGGCGTCAAAAGTAAAAATTGTTTTCTCTCTGGCGAGAAAACCTCTTACAGCAATTATGTTGAGTTTCGTACTTTGTTTTCTTCTATAATATCTAAAAATGTACAATACGTTATTTTTTTTCATCTTTTTTGGCCTAAAATATCAATTAAATTCTTTAAAAAAAAAGAGTGTAAATGTGTGTTAATTAATGTATCCTCTATATTTATAATTGTTTGTATACTAACAGTAATTGTTTGATATTTTTCTATTCTAAAAACATTTCACGAATGAAAACTCCTCTAGGGATCCGTAAACATATCCTTGTTCTGCGATAATACTTTTTCCTTTATTTTCTAATCTCGATAGAAATTCGGCGACGGGCATTAAAAATTCAAATTGTTACATAACTTTCGACGAAGTTTTTGCCCAATTAAATTCAATGAATATATCCTGTCAGCTCCAAGACGCTCATAAATATGAGTCGAGTCCTTGGCAGGAAGGATCTAATAACAATATCCTTTCGGTGAGTTGGCACATAATAATCTTGTAACGGACCCACTATACAAAAACCATGGGACCGTCGGTATCAGCAAAAATTGTTGAACAAGATAGTCTTTGAATATTAGGCCAGTTATAACAAATTTTTCATTTTTTTTTCGATTTTTTTTTTAATTTATAAAAAATTGTGAAAATAATAATGGGGACAATCGATCAGTATTGAAAATTGGTTTAATAACAATAGAAAATAAATGTCAGAAGATAACATTTTAATTAATTGCAAATATAGAATAGTAAATTAGCAATAAATTTAATAGATAACGAATTAGTAAGTTTTGGCAGAATATAAAATGCACAGTGACTTACCTTAAGAGAAAAAAAAATGAATTTGTTCGTAAATAAGGGCCATTAATAGGAGACGCCGATGGAGGAAGGCAATTTTTTTAAACTATAAAGGGTCTTACATAATTTTTTTTATTATTTTAAAAGAATTGAAATATCTAACATAAGATAATTTTTCACCTACAATTACTGTTTAAAAGAGATCATTAAAATGTATACGATATGTTAACTTTTTATTCCTGACTCCAGGAGAACGGAATAGAAACAGAATGCTACTGAATAGAGATAAATAGACTAATATCTTGTCTGATGTGTCGGTTAAAGTACTATTAGGTACTTGTTGGTAGGAATATTTAGTTAGAACAATTTATTTACATGATAATGCAATTTTAAAGATAAGCTGTTATTTACAAAGATTTCATTGGTATTTACTTATCGTAATGTTTTTAGAATAAGTTGGAGTCAATAAGTATTATAAAATCAATCTTTTGTCGAAACTATAATAGGTAATAATTAGATTTTAAATTTATATTTATGGATATATTTTCATTAACATAGAACATAATTGAAAATAGAGTTCAATTAACAATTAAAAAGATGGCCGTGACATAAGAAATAAAATAATCTTGCCATATAGTGTTTTTTATTTAAAGCAATATAAAATGATTACAGAAAACTGCAACCTGTGTTTTATTAGATATATTAAGAGTATATATAAGTAGCCATTTTTAATCCAAATAAAATTAGTTTGTTTTTTCTTGATAATTTAAAACAAAAAAAAATGAACATAATATGATCAATAATTGCAACAATAATTATATCAATTTTTTTAATTTTCATTATTGGGAAAAATAAATAAATAAATATTTTATCTTCTCATGGAAGTATCAATGGAGCCAAATGGATTCTGCCAACAGATGACGCTAGTGAAATTGGATACAGTTAAAAATCCATAGATATATAACCAAGACAGATAGGATTATTTACAAAAATTTTGAACCATCAACGTTGGCGTCCGCGGCAGAAACACAATAATCTTATTGAACATTGATGTCAAGTTTATGATGTTTTTAACTGTAGTAATGTAGTTACGTTTGCTTGCAAAACTATTAAATCTTTAAATTATAAAAAAAAAATTACGCCTGACAACAGCGTAACTAGACTAGACCGTTATTGTAGTATTTGTAAGAGGGTCGTAATTTGTTTAATTCATAAAATTCCTTCGATAGTTATTTGGAAGGAACGGTTGTTTGTAGGTTTTTAGTAAATTCAGGTATGTATTTCTCCCATCTGTCACATTAGTCATATGAAGGAAGTGTTTATTCGCGATTCAAATTAATTTTCGCGCGCCTGTCATTTGTCACTTATAAGTAGGATGTTTATTTACATGTTTTTGTTTTGGGCGGATTTTGTATTTGTGATTGTTTTAACTGTTTTTAGATAATATTCTCATTGTAATAGTGTTTTTGAGTTTCATTTAGTGTTAATTTAAGTTCAAGTCTCGTGCTTTCGTCATAAATATAATATGTATCATGTGTATGACTTATTTGTTGGAAATATTCACCTGTTGGTTGCTACAAGAACATCTAGAAATATGTATTCACTAAACCCAGGACATGTTTTATTATGTGGTTTAAAGGACATTTCAGGTACCACACGTTTATTATTGATGAACTTACTAGACTTATTCTTATATTATGAAGTGAATCATGTAGTACTTTGTATACATGTAAATGGTAATAAAACCGTCACAAATCAGATTACAGTTTGATTCTAAACAAAGTTTTGTAAAATTTCAATATTGTGAATTTGTAGATATTCATTTATCGTAAAAACAAAATTTTACGACTTGCACTTGGAAAATATTGAATACTTCAATTTTGATTTTGACATTAACACCATATAGATTGCAATTTTCTGGGGACGTTTTCGCAGATTTCATTTTTAATATAAACACTATCACAGACTATAAGAAATAAACAAATTTAAAGCTAAAAAGTAAGAAAAAACTCAAATTGTAATTGATACAAATTAAAATGTAAACAATGAACACGAACGCCAATGTTGCCAAATGATCAACTGATTTTAAAACAAAATTAATAAATGAACTGAAATTTAAAAAAAATCAATATAATAAATCGGTTTTATAAAAAAATCCTTAAATAAATATAGAGTATGATTAGATATTACCACACAAATTTTGATTTTTAAATAAAAGGTCTTATCCACTTCTTCAAAAGCTAAAATCCGACGACGTAGCGAAGTTTTGCTACTTCTGGCAACACCGAACGATATCCTACTTATACGGACCTTGTACAAATTTCCTCCAGAGGGCGTATCACTTAGCTTGAATCGCGAATAGGTATCTTCGATATAGCGCCTTAGCTTGACACGAGAGAGTGTAGACTATGCAGTCTATTAGAGAATATCAAAATTGTTCTAACCAATCATAAACGGATATTAACAATATGATATTTTACAGTACTGATAAAATCATACTTTTTGACTCCCAAATTGGTTTCATTTATAATACATCAGGATACTATTTGTTGAGAACCTTTCATCTAATTTTTTAGAACTGAATTTTTGATAATACTCGTTATATATTTCGTTTTTCTTAAATCTTCCAATTCGGTTTCGTATCTATTACACTTTTAAACTACTTTGCATGGGATTACTGGCCTAAAATGTTGCATAACAATTTTCATTAGTTTTTATATGCCTTAAAGGTGCTGGTTAAACGGCCACTAGAATCGGCCATATACTTTTGATTTACAGTTTTTATACGGTCTTCTTGAAAGTTTTAATAAAGGTTTTCGAAGTAATGATTGCTAGAGGCGAAAGATATTTAAAAAAAAAAGTTGTCTCCAGTTTTCTGATTCTTGTTAAGTTCGATAAAGAAACTAAGAGAAAATTGCTTGCTTTTAGTTTTTCTTAAAAAAACAGCTCTCGATTCTGTATTTAATGTTTAGAAGTGCAATTATAGTTTGATTTGTATTATACCTATATGTTTGTTATATTTTTACCTATTTGTTGTTTTTCAAAAATAATTTGAATGTAGGTGGTAAAACGGGTTATGATGTTTATATGGACGACAAGGATTTTTTAATTTTGTTTTATTTAAAAGCGTTATTGCAGTTTTATGACTTGGCGTTAATGATTTTGACATTTGATTCAATTTCTAGATAAATTGTCTACATTAATTTTATAATTTTTTAGTAAAATTATTATGTAAAATGACTAGTTGGCAGCTTTTGTAACTTCCAATTGGCAAAGATTTTTGTTTTAATTTATATATAGTTGTTATTTTTTTAATAATGTCACATTTCTTAAATAAAGCTATTTGTACACTCCTAGTTAATACTAACAGGATAAAAAATGTTTGTTAAATTTAATCAAATGTAATACAACGAGTCCTTAAAATTTTATCGATGAACGAACGGAAGTTAAAAGGGATATTGGTTGGAACGTTTTGTTTTTATATATAAAATATGTAATAGTGGCTTAATTTTACGTGAATGGGAAAAGATTTCTGTCCTTAAAATCAATTTGTTGCTTTGAAAATTTGATTTTATTAAAGTTTAAAATATTTTTTTTTGTTTCAGACGCAAGCGATGCTAAATCAACCGAAGTGAGCGCGATATCAAAAAACGAAAAACAAATGCACGGCAACAACTCCAAAATCATCCGTACCATAACGACCAGCGCTCTCAACGAAAATCAAACGACCTCTAGCGGCGCAGAGCTCAACAGTCGCAACAACTTTATACTGGTCCGTAATTCCAAGGGTACGGATGGCGGCCATTTTCTTCTTCGTACCGATGGACTGGCCCATTCCAAGAACAATATTCTCTTGGAGGACACTGAAGGTGGCAAAATAGGTCAGTAGTTCTTTAGTTTTTAACAAAGAAGAACGTCATTCTTAGAAACTAAAATCATAGTAAGAGTGTTGATAATTATTTTGATAAAATGCAATGCCTGTTGCGGTATTATATTCCAATAAAATAGTCCTTTAAATCAAAATTTTGGAGGAAATACAGAAATTTTTGATATAAGTCACTTTAGAGTAAACGATATGTAAAAAAATTTTGTTTTTTAAACCCCGGCAAATGTCGAAAAACAAGAAAATAATTTGTTTTTTCAAGATTATTTAAGAACTTTAGGTGCTATAAAAAAAGTTTTTATTGAAAGTTGTAAAGCATAAGCCATAACAATTTTAATTAGGAAATTTTCAATATATTATACGACTTTATATGGTAAAATAAATTTTGAAGTAAACTTATTAACTTGCCTGACATAAAATTTTTTATGAGGAGTGAACTAATAAAAATGATATCGCTACAGTTTAGTCACCACTTGAAGTTCCATCATTAAATAAATAAAAATTAATAAAAACAAAAAATAACACTAAATAAAAATAAAACCCCTGTAAAAGATTATTATGTATAAATAAACGGTTTTTTTATTTTACCTAAATTTTCATAATGAATTTCTTCTCGATCAATAAATTTTTCTTTGCAGGTCAAATTTTGATCCAGCAAAGCGAAATTAAGAAGGGGGTGCTGGTCCAGTCTGTAAAACGGTTAAGTTCGCCAATATTTCTCTTGAGCGGGGGAGACAACAGTAACGGACACATACTAATACACACCGCGGCTCCTACTGAAGAAATCAGGCATCCTACTATTGAAATCGACGATGGCGGTGATAATATTTTGGTGCAGGCCTTAGAAGGTATCCACGATGGCGATTCGCCCAGCAGCAGGGGATTGTCTACGCCTATTGGTTCAGGTGAGTTTGTAGTTTAGTTTTCGATTCTGTATAAACTATTTTTAATTATCTTAAGGTCTTAAATGGATCACTCTAGAAGGTAATGGAACTAAAGTGAATACATTACTTTCTGTTGTCTTACCTCCCTTTTAACACTTTTCTTCGCATTTTCGAAAGTCCAAAAATGCAAAAAAATCATCTAGTCGTCTGTGCATAAGCACGATAACTGTTTCACTTGACTAACGGTTTTGACACTATATAATTTCTTTAAGCCGAGATTATCGGTTTAAGTTTAAGTATTTTTTTAGGGTTCTTTACTCAAAGGGTAACCAACGGGACCCTATTAACAAGCTTTTGCTGTCCGGCCAATTTTTTTTTTAGTATAAAATGCTTATTAAGCTTATTTTATGGACTGCGACATAGGTACTGGGGATGTCAAGATCTTAATAAATTGTCACGTATGTAAACTCTAAAATCACAGACATTTTTTATATTGCTGCCATTTCTAAATGTCAAATATATGATCTGAAGATTTTTAAACGCATTTTTAAAGAGGTTATGTGTGTTCATTCATTACAAGGGAAAATAATAGATTCCTCAAAATAATTGATTTACGTCGATAGAGGTGAGTATCTTACGCGAAAAACATATAGTTTGGTTAAATAACGATGATTTTTGGTGGAGCTTTAACGAATTCCAGAATGGAACTCGTATCTAAATTCGATATTACAATTAATATGGTAGTGAACCCAAATAATATTTTACATGGACAAGCTTTAATATTTTTACACGGGCAGACATACATGATAAATTGACCAAATTTGTTATCTTGACTAGACTTAAGGGGTAAAGAATCCAATATTTTTAGATGGGTAGGCTTAAAGGGTAATTGGCCTAAATGATTTGACTTGTAGGTACAGTTGTAAGTGGTAAAGGTGCCAAATATTTTGATATGGGATAAACGGACCAACTATTTTACATATACCATAAGGTATAAAAAAGGTAATAATTTTGTACATGGACAGGCTTACGGGATAAAGGGACCAACTATTTTACATGGGCTGGCTTAAGGAGTAAACTGACCAAATATATTTACACGACAGACTTTTCACATAAATTGTTCAAACAATTTAAAAACCCTAATCAATAGGCGACATGAAATGGTTCTCAAAAATCAGGCCAATGTAAAAATGTTCACGTGTCTTAAGGTACGTTTACATCTGACATTTATTGCATGAGTTTTATTTCTGACAGTTGATTAGTCCAGTGTAAACACTCAAACATATATCTCCGAGAGAAATTTTTGTGTTTACACTTGACTAAACAGCTGTCAGACATAAATTTCATGCAATAAATGTGAGATGTAAACATACCTTTAGCCTATATAAGTAATGCCGATGCTGAAACCTGAAAATTCAACTTCTCTTTTATTTTATGCTATAAGTTTGCCTGTGCGGAGCTCAGTCTTGGTACGGTGGGTAGTACCAATGTAGCGTCTCTCGAATTTTTTAAATATTTCTAAAGCGTTAATTTATAATTATAATCGATGTGTACATAAAGTATGGAATAAATTTATTTTAAGCTAAGCAAGCAATTTGAAGAAAAAATCTAGAAACAGCTCAGTTTTTGATTTAAATTTAATGTAATTTTACATAACAATAAAAGGAAAAATCCACCAACGGTCGAACGGACTATTTTTTTTAACGATTTTAGACCTTCTGAAGCACATTTCAAAATACTTTTTTTGACCTGTAAACGTTATAAAATATTTTTTCTTGCCTTAAAACTATTGAAATATGTCCAATTTGAACTACATCATTTTGATTAATTTCTTGTTATAGAAACTGCTAAATAATAATACTAGACCATAATGCAATTAACCATCCAAATTTTTTCGCACAGTTTATTTTCTTAATTTACGACCAGGTCGAACTTCGTCAAAATGATCTAATTTTCATAACCCCAATGATAATTGACATTGGCAGTGTGACATGTGTCTAAAGGAAATACAAGGTTGCCATATCAATTATGTATTACATAGCAATGGTAATTTTTACCTATGCCCTGCGTTGTACCAGGCCAACCAATTGACTCAGTATCAGAAAAATTATATAAATCGATATTACCCTTGGCGTACGCTCAATATTGGCGGTAAATCAAAATACATCAATGTCATTGTCATAACACGGAAATTCTTCTCATATCTAATGGACTTTATTCTTAAATTTATACAGACAGCGATTGTTTGGTTAAATATAAATATAAAATATATTAAAGAAAATATAATTATTTTCCTAAACGAACAATATACAATAAGAAAATGAAGAAACGACTTCTTGTAGGGTGGCGGCTTAGCCGTCACCTGAAAATTTTTAAACCATACCTGGCTACGCCGACCGGCATAGACTCCAACGGCCTGGACACAGCTTAAATTAAAAAAAAACCTAACCAACCATCATTAGCGTCTGGTCACTGAACCTCGATCCCAACTTTTAATGAACATATATTTATTTTGGCATCTAATAATAAGAAAATATACAATAAATAGACGAAGCAACGACTTCTTGTGGCGTCTATTTTCTAATTACAGAGTGATTGAGTTATTATATCCAATAATAGCCCCATCCAGGACCCTTAGTACAGAGCTTTAATCACTTAAATTATAAAAACAAGATCAGGGATTATAAAACTTGCCACCCTCGTTACAAATAATACTCAAAGGTATTAATTTATCAAACACAAGTATGATATATTTTTTTTGGAATCGTCTTGAAATTTACAAACCAAAAACAGAAAAAAACAGCTAGTACCATTTAAAAAAATTGTTGATGACATCGTTAAGGTTTACTCTGTATATTTCATTGTTATATAAAAAATACAAATTTAAATTAAAAATTGACATCCCTTAGGATTTTCCCCCAAATTTTTTTAGCTCAAAATGCATTTATTTCAAACTTTATGTTCGTAGTGTATGTCGCGTGTCCCATAGCGTTCTTGTTTTTGTTATTTTTTTTTTTGACTTTGTTAAACCACATAGATTATGTTTTAGTTTATATAAAAAAATTAATTTTATTCATTATTTACAAGTTACAGTATTTTTTTAATTTTTATTTATTTGTTTAAGTCCATACATGTCTGGACAGCTAATATTAGAATAGCTTACCATACAAAACTATAGTAGGTACATAGAAAATAGAAAATATTTTATTAGATACTTAATAAAAATATATTCTCGAGACTGGAGTTATCAAGTTTAAACAGGCATAACAATTTTAGATAAAAACAATGTTTACATAAGCACATACCTATGAAATATTAGTGAAACTGTTTTTTTATAGTAGGTACGTTCCGAAAAAACCTTTTAGAAACTTCACTTCCTATCCTAATCGTTCGGGTCAAAATAAATCGCAGGAAAACTCTTTAATTCAATCGCCTATCACGCAATTTACTTTTTATGTGAACAAAATCACTTTGAGCCTCTTAACCGAGATACATTATTCCGCCGCTTGTCGTTCAAAACAGATGAGAATATAAAAACGCCGGAATTAACCCGTTAACCCAGATTAGTTTATAAATCAACAAAAATTTTATGTGAGCAATAAAAATGACAGTCGTATTCGATAAAAGGACCAAAAATATTGTTACAGTAACAACATAAAATCACATAAATTTCTGACTTATTTTTACGGATATTTTTTTTTGTCGCGCACATTAAGATATTTACGACTCATCAAATTTTATCGGTTATGTTGTTTTGTCCACAATAAGAGTGGGAATGGTTAAAGCTACATCGTAAATATGTGTAACAGCTTGTTAAAAATATCAAATTGTTAGGAACGATAATTTCATAAACTCTATGAAGGCCCTACACGTTCCGATATGGCCTACAGGTCAAAACGCAGAGTTATGATCTAAAGGCAATATTTAATCAGCTCATTTCAGTCTTTAACTTTAAATTTGACAAAAGAGGAGAGCCCAAGGATATAGATTTCAAATCAGTGCGATACTCGCAACCAAATACGATATCGAGAAATTTCCTATTCGCTATCGAGTTGCCCTGCGTTTTGGTTGATTCCGAAACCCGTAGTATTCGTAGCAAGCATGCGCAGTACGTGTTTTAATTGACAGTTTACGTACGTAAATAAATCGACGGTATTTGGTATTTATTTTTGTTGGTGTTTTTGTTAGAAAGTGAATTATAATAAATAGCCACGCAAGTAAGCTACCAATTTTTAATGGCCGGATACAACGAATAAGACACAGGTACCAAAACAGATTCCTCGTTTTACAAAGGCGTCGACTCGGGGACCACAGCATTCCATTTGACCTTCCGGATGAGCGCTTTATTGAATTGTACAGATTGAACAGAGAAGCCGCCAGGTATCTGATTGATACTATACATCTCCACCTTGTAGAAGGAGTCTACGACCATTATCTGCCAAATTTTATAAATATTTTTGCTGCATTACGTTTTTATGCGACTGGGTCATACCAACGAGATATTGGACTTTCGTACAACATAAGTTTAAGCCAAACTGCGTTCCACATGTCAGTATCTTTTCTTATAAAGGCTTGTCAAAAATTAATTAAATAGGTGTCCAGCAACGTAGACGTATTTTAAATTTAGATAACGACCATACCACTTATTTTTTTCAATTATTTATAGTAGACGTATTTTAAATTTAGATGCATAATGCAAGTTACAGCAACTATCCAGCAAGTAGTAGCACCTCAAGAAATTGCATTTCCTCAAAATGTCAAGGAACAAAACATAAGGGAAGAAGCTTTTATGGAAAAGTTTGACGGAACGCGTAGCCATTTTAAAACCAAGCCAGGATGGGCACAACTTTTTAAATAGAAAAGGTTTTTATTCATTAAATGTTATGATAATCTATGATGCAGATCTTAGAATATTAAGTGTTAATGTCAATTACCCAGGCTCTAATCACGACAGCTACATTTGGCGCCAAACAACTGGAAGAAACTTCCTTTCTCAAGAGTTTTTGGGAAATCGGCTAAGA